GCATTTGATTTCTGGGAAAGTACAGATATAATTGAATGAGAAGGTTGTTAGGTTAAAAGAATAATTCCTTCAAAGGAGAAAAGAATTATGAACGTGTCTCATCTAGTCTTTTCAGATGACGGCTGAGCAGCAGCTGTGTACTCGGTGCCGTGTTTTATGTAAAACATTTGTTAGGCTTTTATGTTTGCCTTTGACTTGAGAAAAACTCCCAGATCTTTTTTAGGATGTAGGAGTTTTAATCTCCTCCTAGTGTTCGTTTCACCTGGAGATTATTTTTTCCATTATCCATAGCTCTAATTCTGTACAGAAGATGGTGACTCATGGTACTTTTTAATGAAAATTGGAATGATAAATAAGTTCAAAGCAAGTTCATGAAAAGCAAGTACAGAGCCAGAGGTAAAATGAGATGCTTTCTTCTTCTTTTGTGAGCAGTACCACGTGAAAAAAAAATCTAGGATGCTTTGCTTCTTTTGAAACTAGCATTTGGGAATAAAAATTACATAATGTTGAAGTTAGCTCAAACCAGTGTGGTTTTTTCCCCCACCATGTGAAATTTTAGGAAAAACGTATAAGACAAACCTGGCTTTGATACTGACAGAGATAAATGACATTAAACTCATAATAATGTGTTAGAGTATCGGTTACTTTGTTGGATTCTGACATTTTTTCCCTTCAATTTTGTCATTCTTACTAATGCAAATTTATGCTGTTACACAATATTTTAAATGAAAAACTTTAATCTTTATTAAAGTAATTAATCTTTGTTAAATTGCCTTTCTAGGTGATTTCTGTACATTTCTATATCTTATTGAAGTCTTTGTTTTTTCCCCACAGTATGCTTTTAACATGTGTATATTTGCTGAAATGTCTTTAATTTTTAACTTTTAATAGAGGTGAGACAGTGCTGGCAAAGAGTAATTCTAACACACTAATAGAACGCTGAGTTATTCTTTTACCGTCTGCCTTGATTGTAATTGTCTTTATTAAGAAGGCATTAAGAAAATTATTAAGAAAGGTGGGGCGGTGTCTCTTCACAGAATCTGTATTAATTTCTCCCTTAGAGTAGTTGACAGTATAACCCCCCCCAAAATATTGAAAAACAATCTTATATACTAGATAATAGCTGAACACTGCTATTAGTTGTTGAAACATAAAAACATGTTCTGCATAAATTTATGTTTGGAACAGGAGATTATAATAGTGAAAGATTATTGAGAAAGGTGCTAAAATATACTGAAGTGTTTATTTTCTTTAAACAAGCTATATTTACATGGTGTGTTAAATGTGATGATTTTCATATTGGTTAATGTTTAGTAGTTTGATTTTTTAAAAAGATGTTGAATATTTTATCTCAAGCCAAGGCTATTTGCCTTATAATCACTTCTCTTGCCCAGTGGTGACTTAATATATCCATAAAATGTCAGGAAGAAATCCTCGGGCGGAAATATGGACCTAGACACACAGTTGTGTTACTGGCTTTCACGTATGTTCATTTATGACTTGTTGCTGAATTGACCCAAACTAAGACTCTGAGAGGTATTTGGAACACAGCCATGGGCAGAAGAGGGCCCTGGGAAGACAGCACTGTATCCCTCCTGCTTTTATTTTCTGATAAGGGATAGGGAGTGAGGGGGTGATGGTTGGGTAAGAGAGAAAATATACAAAACTTTTAGAACTTAGGGTACTTGACTTAAATTATCTGCTGACATTTCTTTCATAGTTGCCTTTGAAAGCTCTCCCGGGCTTGCTGCATCATTTAACAGAAAACTAGGGGCATCTGGGACATTTAGGTATCCTGGGATACAGCAGTGAGCAAAATAGACAACATCCCTGGTCACAAGGAGGGGATAGTCTTTTGCAGGGGAGACAGGCAAATGTGAAACAATGTGTCAGATGGTAATAAGTGTTATGGAGAAAAATAAAGCAAAATAAGAAGGATGAAGGATAGATTGGGATGGGCTTACTTTTCCGTAGAGGGTGTTCAGGAAAAATCTCACAGATCAGGTCACATTTGAACCAAGCATGAAGGAACCAAGGGAGGGAGTTATGTGCTCCCTACTCCTATGTCCAGCCGCCTACTTGTCTTCCAGGAGCCTCAAACTCAACTTGTTCAGAACTGAACTCTTCATGCCCCTTTTTAACCTCTTCCATCTTCAGTCTCCTGCATCTCAGAAATGGCATCACTGTCTATTGAGTTGCTCATATGAAAACACCTGGGGCTGGTGATTGATTCCTCTTTCCCCTCAACCTCATGCTGGCACATTTAGTGGAGTCTCCCTCCAGGATACACCTCTCATCTATCTTCCTGCTGTGTTGAATACTATTACTGTGGTCCAGGCTACCGTCATCTCTTTCCTGGACCATGATTTAAGCATCCTAGCTGCCCTCCTGGTTTCTGTTCTTGCCATCCCAATAATCCAGTATCTCTGTAATTCACATCTTCTCGTTCACCTGCTCAAAACCCTCCTGTGGTTTCCCACTGCACCTAAGGTAGTTTCATGAGGTGTCGCACTCCAGGTCAGCAGTAATTTTCTGTCACTGTAAAGATGCTCTGTTCTTTCACTTCTCTTGTTTTTGTTGAAAAGTTAACTGTATGTCTTATTTTTGCTCCTTTGAAAGAAATGTGTACACCTCTCCCCCAAAATTACTTTTAAGATTTTCTCTATCTTAGGTTTTTCAACCAGCATTTGCCTATGTGGTTTTCTTTATATGTCTCTTGATTAGAGTTTATAGAGCTTCTTGAATCTATGGCTTGATGACTTGTGTCAGTTTTTAAGAAGATTCTAAGCCTGTGTTTCTTCAAATGTTGATTGAGTTCCATTGTCTGTCTCTTCCTGTTCTGGGTTTTGAACATCATGTATTTAATTTATTTTTTTATTGAAGTATAGTTGATTTACAATGTTGTACCAATCTCTGCTGTACAGCAAAGTGACTCAGTTTTACACATACATACATTCTTTTTTTTAAGTTTTCTTTTCCATTATGGTATGCCAGGAGATTGGATATAGTTCCAGTGCTCTACAGTAAGACCTTGTTGTTTATCTATTCCAAATGTAATAGTTTGCATCTACCAACCCCAAATTCCCAGTCCATCCCTCTCCCTCCCTGCCTCCCCCTTGGCAACCACACGTCTGTTCTCTATGTCTGTGAGTCTGTTTCTGTTTTGTAGATAGGTTCATTTGTGCCATACTTTAGATTCCACATACAAGTGATAGCATATGGTATTTGTCTTTCTCTTTCTGACTTACTTCGCTTAGTTTGAGCATCATGTATTTTAGACCTTGCACTGTGTCCTGTGTTGCCCTTAAGCTCTTTTCTGCATGTTCCTCTTTGTTTTCTTTTTTGTGCATAAATGTGGAAATTTTTTACTGACTTACCTTCCAGGTCACTATTCTCTCTTCTGTTATGTCTAATATTCTCTTGAATTCCTAACTTGAGTTATTGCATTATTCGGTTTTAGGATTTCCATTTGACTCTTGTTTATAGATTCTAGTTCTTTGGTAAAAATCATCATCTTTTCGTCTGTTTTCATATTAATTATATATTTTTTAAACTGCAAAACCTGGTTTATCTGCGAATCTCTGTTTCTCATTTTTCTCTGTTATTGGTCTGGTCTTGTGCATTTAATATTCTTCTGGGTTGTAGACCTTGTCTGGGTAGGTCTAGCTACAGACTGCCCTTACTTCTAGACCCTTTTCCCCCGGCAGACCCTGCCCTCCAGCCTTGGGCTCCCAGAACTACTGCTGAAGTCTCTGCTCAGATTTTAGCCACTTCACTGCTGTTTCCCACTTGGTTCTTGTGTTTTCCCTTGGTTTTTGTGCAGCCTAGGAGTTGAGGGAAGATTGCAGGCAGAATTTGGGGCTCACTCCTCTGGGATCCCCTTAAATCTCTACCATCTCGGCAGCTTGCAGCTCCAGCCTCTGTCTCTGCAGTGCAGCCAGATTGCACGAGTCCCCAGCTGCTGCCCTTGGTTGTGTGCTGTCCTCTGCTCGGGTAATCAACAGATTCCTTGAGGGTACAAGGAGGTGAATATGGGGCTCCCATGGGTGGGCGCCCCTTCTCTCTCAGGTGTTAGCCCTCACATCCTATTTGCCTTCGTTGTTTTTTGATGCCCTCAGTCATTTGCTCTAAGAGTTCCTCCAGCTTTTATACTTGTTCTTGGTGGGAGAGTCGGTCTGATCCAGGCTGTTCTTTTGTGACATCTGAACCCTGGTCTATCTCCTGCTTCTCTTTCATACCATGTTTCCCATACCCAGTATATTCCAGCCATACTGCACTCATTTTTTGTTAGAATATATCAAGCCTTTTCCCACCTCAGGGACTTCGTATTAACTGCCTCACCTCTTCTTCCCCAGATGTGTGCTTAGCTGGTTCCTTGATGTTATTTAATCTCCGTTCAACTGTTACTTCCTAAGAGGTTTCTCTCTCTTTCCAGGGTCACCCGTCACTCTTTTATTTTCATCATAGCACTATCTGAACTTACTTTATTTACTTGCTTACTTTCTGTCTCCCCACTATTGTGTAAGCTCTGTTCCCACCTGGCGTGGGATAAATGTTAACTGATAACAAATGATAATAAATGTTAATTGAATGACTGAATAAATGAATAAAATAGGCACTGATTCTGGAAGGAATTTTTCAAATTCTTCTTTGCAAACCTCAGTGGGACATAAAGGAACACTGTTTTCTTCACATTAATGGTATTTTGATAAGGAATATTCTATAAAATACCACTTTTATGTGTTTATAGTATAATGATGACTAGCATTTTGTTCATCCTGATGATCTGATCTTAAATTACTTTCTTTATAGACCAAGATTATGCTGTATTCATTATCACATGAGTAATAATTATATTTTTGTTGAAATTCTTTAGAAATATATAATCTGTGCTTATTCTCTATCACCCAGGATATTTGACTAAAACTAATGATACCAATTTGTTTTTGGTCGTGCATGAAATGGCTTTTTAAAAATATTTTTATATCTTTATTTAACAGGAATGGTTTTTAGGAAAAGCATTACATGACGAAGAATCTACGATAATTCACCATTATGCCTTTTCCGAAAATCCTACAGTTTTTAAATACCCAGACTTCGCTGCTGGCTGGGCCCTTAGTATCCCACTGGTAAACAAGTAAGAATTTATGAGACTTGCTTTTCGTTGCGTCTCGTGTATGAATCAACTTTTATTTCGCCGAGTCTTGCAGTTGATGGAGCTGAGTGAACTTTTCAGCAGAGGCAGCGGGTGAACCCACAGCAGGGAGACCCGCGGCAGGAGCCAGACACAGGCTCCATCACTTACTCATCCCCTCAGAGTCACGCTCAGCCGCTCTGCCCTTCCTCTTACTCACCTGCAAAATGAGGCGAATGATCAACTGTGAGGCTGAGGGAGGGCCCACGAGTGCTCAGGACTCTGTACCCGGAGGTGTGACCACTGTTGTGAGCTCTAGGCGTGACTCTGATTGTCAGCAAAGAAATGAATCAGCAGCACGCCTCGGATTGGGGTGATGACTGGTCATGTGCGTGGATGTGTAGACGCGTTTAAACGTGGGCTGGGCAGGAGGCATAGCTAGCTCTTGGTGTGAGAATCACAGTAATGCAGTTTTTGATGTGAAAGGGGAAGATAAGTTGTAATTCAGGAAAAGCATGGCTGTTGACAGTCCTCTTAACCTAAGTAGTTCAGATTAATTGTGAGTTTTTGTTCTTTAGAGAATGGAAAGTTGATAGTGCAGTTGTGGTTTTTATATCTGCAACGATGAAAATGTTTCTCTTATTTCTTACAGTAAGTGTCCTGTTTCTAGGGTTTGGAGTCCTGAAAAGCTTTTTAGCCCATTGTAGTAATATAAGGTAGTAGATACTTTGTCATTTGTGGTTGCTGAAACTTCTGGACTGCTCCCTTGACATTTGAAAGTTCCTTACAATGTAACATGCTCCTTCCCAATGTAGATGCAAGTAGCAGAAAAGTATGCAGAGTGGATGAAGGGAATATTGTTGCTGGAATTGGAAGCGGAGGTGGGTGGTTGTTTGGTGCAGGAGTCCAGCAATGTCATTGAGGGGAGGCTGGATCTCTCTGTCTCTCCGGCTTAGTGCACAGCATCATTTCACCCTAAATCTGGTTTGCTTTGTGCTTTCAAGGCAGTAAGGGCTATGAACTTCTTATTTATGTACAGCAGGAGAGAGCCTCTAACCATGGAATGAAAGTGCTTATCCCCAGTCTCTAGGTGGATCCTGTCCAATTAAAGTCAGTTGGGACAGCTTCAGGCCTATACCATCCTCTGCACCGTTAACAGCTGCCGGGACTTCAGTGCATCGGTTGGGATCAAACTAGCTCTGACCCTGGAGCCCCTTTTTTGGCCTGAATAATTGATCAAAATCAGAATTCTCTTAGAGGAAGGAAGGAGAGGCTCTGGTTCATGTGGGTACCCAACAGTGCCCACTACGGGAGCGTCGATTCACTGTGTCTCCTTTCCTTGACTTACGGCTCACTTTGTAGGTAGGGCAATGATTTATAGTTACTCAAGTATTTCTTCTGCTCAAGTCACCAGAAAAACTGGTTACTTAAAGACACTTCATGACACTCACTTTCTTAGACTTTTTCACCGGAAATATTTTTGGGGCTAGCAATCCCGCATCAGTGAGTGTTGAATTAACACTGCCCAACATTTCCCAGTGCTCTAGCTACGTGATCTCCTCATGATAGCATCAGTAAAAAAAAAAAAAAAAAAAAAAAAAAAAACTTGCATCTTTGGAGAAACGCTCATTGATTTTCAGTAAGATGGTTTCTTCAAATAGGTGTTACTACAGAACACCGTTACTGGTTTCCCCTGTTGTTTTTCCATCAGAAAACCTTATCTAGATGTCCTGCAACATCTTGCTCTGTTGACTGTCTCGCACGTGGGACTAGAAGAGTCAGGTAGGGAGTTTTCCTGGTGTGGAGTTGAAGGAGCCCTGTATTTGTTGCAAGTTTCCGGTCTAGCTGGTTGTGTCATTAGAACTGTGTTATCGGGACATAACTTAGTGCCTTCTAAAAACAGGAAAGCTGAATGTCAAATTCTCTTTTGCCAGGAACTGAATATTTAATGAAGAAATATTTTCGCAAAGTAGTTGGGATTTCTGGCCTTGTTTTTTTTGGCATTGTTGGTTCCTGAAATTAGCGTTTGAAAAGCCCTTGGGTATAGCCCTTGCTTGCTTGGTGTATAGAAAAATGAAACCTAGTTCCCACCACTAGGACTGGCCTTTTAAGTCGGAAGTCGGGTGAATGCTCCCCTGCACACTTTTAGAACTGGGACTTGTTTGCAAGGTGACTGGGTTAGGCCCCAGGTGTCCCATGAGGCTGACTCATCCATGCGACGTTTGTAATATTGAGGTAACCATCACTGGTTCTGGCAGATTCCACAGGCTGCTAAACGTAGCCATTTACAGATGTCAGTGTACATACTGATTTGTTTCCAGTCAGTCAGTGTTCATCTTAAAGAGATTCTTTCCTCTTAAAGAGATTCTATCAGTGGCTGTCACATTTTTCTCTAGTTTCCCTCAGAGAAAAATGTACAAGAATTGAATGCGAAAGAAACTTAAAAAGTCAGAAAGAGTAGAGAGCATGTTTAAGGTAACAGTTCAGAGGTGTTTATTGTCTCTTAAGAACGGGTGTGGGCAGCGTGGCCATCTGACAGTGGATGTCACGTGCCATTGGATGCTGATCGCACTTCTGTGTTCCTTGTCCGTGGCGATAAGCCCAGGTATGACTTTTCTTTTTTTGTGTGTGTTTGGTGTCTGAATGTGGTTGGCTCAGATTTTGAAGGCACTTGGCATGAGTCCAAATCCCCAAGTTACCTTAAAAGAGTTTATTCATGAAAACTGGCTCCAGCCAAGCAGAGTTCGAGTTGGACAAGATTCCACACCAGGGCAGAGTTTTCTCTTAATATATGTCAGGAATGTTCTGAGAATGCAGTCTCTTTATGCAGTGTCCTCACCCACTCCTGCCCCTGAGCCGGTGGGCAGGTACTGAGCAGGAATGTAGCAGAGGTTCCATGGGGCTTCTTTCCGAGCTGTGTGCCATCGAGCCACATTCCTATCAACCGTGAGGCCGGTGCTTCATGACCACACGTAAATTATAACCTGTGTCCTCCTTCATCTTTCCTCCGATTAGAGATAAATTTTTAGAGAAATGTCTGTGGCTCAACCAGGCTAAAAACTCAGCGAGGACTTTTGAAACTGATTACTAGTTTTTCTTTTCAAATTACCATTATTTCTTTGTAGTTAAAATATTTATTAGGAGGTTCGTCATTGAAACGAGGGTCCCGTCTGTAGCCCTGTAATAAACGTAAAGCCTGTGGCAGTTCCGTGGTCTTGGTAAGCATGTCATTCTACCTCACTCAGCCTGAAATGGAGGAATGTATTGCAATTTGCCCTCATCCCTTCAGATCGCTCACCGAGTGCTCGTTTGGGCCCGGGCGGTGGGCGCTGTTTGGGGTGCAGAGCAGGAGGGGGGCGCAGGGGGCTCGCCGTGTGTGATGAACGGGACTGTGCTTCCCACTCTGGGGGCAAAGGAAGTTTCCATTTATTCTCGTGGGCAGGTCTGGACACCCTTGAATTCGGTCTTGGAGAAAAGGCTGCCAGGTAGAGGTTGGGTCGGGGCGAACTGGGCCACCGTGTGGCCAGGAGCGCGCTTCGGGGGAGCTGGTGCACGCTGGGGAGCGGGGGGCTCTAGAGCCGGGGCCCAGGGGTCTGGGCCTCTCTTCTGTGTTGAAAAGAGCCATTACGGCTTTTCTGAAGCAAGAAAATGACTTGAAACTGTTATTCTTTCCCGAAACCACATGCTCTCTCCCCCAGGAAACTCCACAAACTGTAATTCATAGGGTCATTAAAAGTAGGAGACTGAAAAGTAGCAACTTCTGTTTCTCTATCAGGCAGGCTTTTTTCTTTTCCTTTTCTTTCTCTGTCATTATTTAGTCAAGGATTATCAGGAGTCAGCACACTCCGTGGCTTTTTAAAAGACATGTATTGTATCGTATTGTGTTTTATGTTATTTTCCAGATGTTGAATAACGAACACTACGTTTGCAACAAGCCTTGCATTCGTGTCCTGGTCCACAAATAATTGTGTTTTCATAGTCCTTTGCCTCAAGGAAATTAAACTCTTACTTTTGTCTTAAAATTTATATTTTTATTTGTTTTCAAACATTAGAAAGTCTCAAGAATGTGTTCTTCTTGTTTGATGCTTTTTTGGTTTTTTTCAAAAAACTCAAATTGTCTCTATTTTCTAGGCTTACCAAGAGATTGAAGAGCGAGTCCCTGAAATCCGACTTTACAATAGATTTAAAATATGAGGTAGGTCATTATTTGTTTGGTTAAAAGTCTTTGTAATCAAGAATTTGTGTCTTTTGATACAAAAGGTGTCTTGTGTTCCCTGAAAGGTGCATCCCCTTTGCCACTCACATCCATATTTTCCCAACGAGGAAATTGCACATGCTACAGTCTGTGAGGGCCTTCTTCTTTAAGCCCATTTTGGTCATGTAGGTGGAGAAGGAACAGTGGAGAAAACAGTTGTGTCTGTGATTCTTCATCCTTTGTTTTTAAGCTAGGTGGATGGGTCCAGAGATGGATTTTTAAAAACATGCAAAAATGTCAGTAAAATACCTCTGGTCTTTTTTTGTGCTTTGGTTGCACATATGTCTTCGACATGTCTCTTGTGCTGGACCCTGTGGAGCAGAGTTGGGCCAGCTGGTCCCCCAGCACCCTGGCATTTAGTGGACATCTGTGACCAGTCGTCCTGGAGGCAGGTGGCGGGCGTCCCTTCCTTAATCCATTAATCTCTCCTGAATCATCATCAAGAAGGTCTCTTCATGCGTACATCTGACTGCCTGAAACAGACCTGCCTTTCCCTCTGTAGGAATCTGTATTTTAGGACATTGGGGCCAATCGTGACTCAGTCCAGCAGTGCTGGTAGCCTGCCAGGAGCGAAAAGGGCACTCACAAGATTTTAATTTGGGGAGTATTTCTAAATGATGAAATAGGTTATTTGAGGAGAAATATTCCTGTTAAAAATCATTCTTTTCCACAGAAGGGAAAGAATGACTAGTTGAAAGCCAGGGTCTGTCTAGATTTTTTTTTTTTTTTTGCGGTACGCGGGCCTCTCACTGTTGTGGCCTCCCCCGTGGCAGAGCACAGGCTCCGGACACGCAGGCTCAGCGGCCATGGCTCACAGGCCCAGCCGCTCCACGGCATGTGGGATCCTCCTGCACTGGGGCACGAACCCACGTACCCTGCATCGGCAGGCGGACTCTCAACCACTGCGCCACCAGGGAAGCCCTGTCTGGATATTTTTAATGAAAAGTCAGCTCAGGTATAGATACCCAGGTTTGGGAGTCTATGAAACATTGAATAACATACAAAAAAACCCTCTAACATACATGAAAGGTATAAAGATCAGTCAGAATATCTATGCTTAAGAGATTGAACTTGATCAGTTGCTTGGAGGCTACCTGTAAGTATCTCCCCAGGAGGGTCCCCCTTCGTTCTAACGAGAGTCAACAACTTTCTTGAATTCTCTCCCTCGCCCCCTTTTCTTCATATATGATCACATATGAATGTATCTCTGAATAATATGTAGTTTTGCATCCTTCTGGCCTTTATATAAACAGAACTGTACCCTGAATAATGTTCTAATTTGAAAGTCATCCGTGTTGATACGTGTGGCTTTAATGAACTATTGTCACTTTGTATAACTGTCTCTCCCAGGACCATACCACAGTGTATTTGCCCAGTCTGCTGGTAGTGGGCCTCCGGGTTGCGACTGGGTTTTGCTGTTGCAGTCACCAGTTCTATGAATATTTTTGACATGTGTCATGATGATCCTCTACAAGAGTTTCTCTAGGACAGAAGCTTTTAAACTGTTTTTTGACTGTGACCGACTTTAAAAAATACATTTTTCATTGTGACTCAGTATATTTGTGTGTTGTTATTGATTTCTAACGTAGTATGATGGGTCAATATAACAGTCATTTGAAATATTTTTAGGTTTGCTTAATGGCCTAGTTCATGTCCACTTTTCATAAATGGAGAAAAGGATGTGTGTGCTCTGATTTGGGGGTGGTATAATATTCTCTTTCTGTCTACTAAAGAACAAATAGATTAATCAGTTAATCTATTGTGCTTTTCACATATTTTATTTCCTCCCTCTCTCCCTTTTCCTACTTCGTTTTGTCTGCTTGACCCGTCATTTGCTAAGGGAGGAATGTGAAAGTCTTCCACAATAGTGGTGACAGTGTCTCCTTGTGGAGCTGCCAGCTCTTGCTATTTATACTCTGAGGCTATGTTAATTAGATGCATACAAGTTTAGAATTGTTACCTCCTCCCGGTAAATGTATCTTTATCTCTAGTAATGCTTTTTGCCTTAGCATTTACTTTGTTGATAGGAACACTTCTATACTAGCTTTCTTTCTGTGTTTGCTTCATCATTGTTTTTCATTTTTTTCTTTCAATTCTTTTGTGTCCTCTTTTGATGCATCTCTCTTAAAGAGGACGTGTTTGTTTTTTTCTCCCAGTTTGACAATCTTTATCTTCAAACCATATAGCAAATTTACATTTTTCATGCTTACTAACACTTTTATTTTATCCTTTGTCTCCCATTTTTTTCTTTTGAAAATTTCCTTGCTTTCTTTTAGATTTTTAAAATTTGTATTCCATTTTTTTCCCTCCTCTGTTATTTTGAAGTTCATTCTCAATGTCTGTTCCTTAATGGTTGTTTTAAATGCAGTAAGTCCCCTACATACGAACCTTCAAGCTGCGAACTCTCAAAGATGCAAACGTATTATGAACCTGTTACAGTGCAGTACTATATGGCCGATTGTGTGAGGTGGGTACCTAGGCTAACTCTGTTGGCCTTACGAACAAATTGGACTTACAGACTCGCTCTTGGAACGGAACTTGTTCGTATGCAGGGGACTTACCGTACTTTAACATGTACAGTAAGTGGCTAATTAATCAATAGCCTAGAAATCTAAGGGCCTGAGCATAATAACTCTGATTATCCCGCTCCCAGTTTTTATGCTCTTTTGTCCAGTATTTTTGTTCTTTCTTTTTTTTCAACCCCGCAACTCAGATATTGTCCTTCCTTACTTTATACAGTTAAATGATTTGTATTAGCTTAACCCTGTATTTGCCGTGTCTATGCTCACTATTCTGTTTTGCTTCTTGGACCTGCCAACGGGGATCATTTTTATTCTTCCTGAAGTATATCCTTCAGAATTTCCTTTTTAGTGACGTGGCAAATTCTCCAATTTTTGTATTTTTTTTTTTCCTTAAAAATTATTTCAGGGGCTTCCCTGGTGGCCCAGTGGTTGAGAATCTGCCTGCCAATGCAGGGGACATGGGTTCGAGCCCTGGTCTGGGAAGATCCCACATGCTGCGGAGCAACTGGGCCCGTGAGCCACAATTACTGAGCCTGCGCGTCTGGAGCCTGTGCTCCACAACAAGAGAGGCCGCGATAGTGAGAGGCCCGCACACTGCGATGAAGAGTGGCCCCCGCTTGCCACAACGAGAGAAAGCCCTCGCACAGAAACGAAGACCCAACACAGCCATAAATAAAGAAATAAATATATAGGGACTATAAATAATTAAAAAAATAATAATTTATTTCAGCTTTGTTCTTGAGACATAGTTGCATTGTGTGTACAATTCTAGGTTGTGAGACATTTTCTCTCATCACAGTACTGTTGTTCCCCTGTGCTCTGGCTTCTGTTACTGCTGTTGTGTTAGGAAATCAACTGCCACTCTTACATGGTTCCATTGTCAGTAATCTGCCGTTTCTCTGGCTGCTTTTAAGATTGTTCTTTGTCTTTGGTGTTCTGCAGTTTCACTATGGTATATATATGTCTAGGTGCAAACTCTTTTTTTTCTAATCCTGTTTAGAATTCATTGGGCCTTTCTATAATAGGATTGTTAAGCAATCCTATTTTTTTTTAATTACATTTAAAAAAATTTCTCAGCCATTGTCTTTTCAGCTGTTTTCTCATCCCCTCTGTTATCTCCTTCTGGAACTTTAGATATATGCTAGAAGTTTGAACTTCTCTTCTACATTCCCCATCTCTGTTTCTAGCTGGGCTACATTTCAAATAACTTGGAAGACTTTATCTTTTAGTTCCCTAGTTTTTATTCAGCTGTGTCTAATATGCTGTTTATCCCCACCATTAAAATGTTCATTATAAGCATTGTATTTTTCTTCTTCTTCTTTTTTTTTTTTTTTTTTGGCAGTACGCAGGCCTCTCACTGCTGTGGCCTCTCCCGTTGCGAAGCACAGGCTCCGGACGCGCAGGCTCAGCGGCCACGGCTTACGGGCCCAGCCGCTCTGCGGCATGTGGGATCCTCCCACACCGGGGCACGAACCCGTGTCCCCTGCATCAGCAGGCAGACTCTCAACCACTGCACCACCAGGGAAGCCCTAAGCATAGTACTTTTCACATCTACAAGTTCTAGACATTTCTTTTTCAAATTTGGTCTCTTGTACAATCTTTCAGAAATTTTGCTCATGTTTTAAAGTTTTTTTCTTTATAAAAATATATGAAACAGTCATTTTCTATTCTGTGCTTGATCATTCCAATCCCCAAAGTCTTCTGGGCCTGAGCAAGCTGTGTCTGCTGGCTCTTGCCCATCATCTCGTCTCTTTGTACTACTTTTTGTGATTTTTCCGAGTACTTTAGCTCCTTGGGAACTGTGGCCGTCCCCCGTCCTATATTAAGGGTGTGGGCTCCTCAGTAAGGATTTGCATTAGTTTTTGCCGGCTGCTAGAGGCTCAGGCTGACTTAGGGCCACTTTAAATTACTCCGAGGTGTTTCTGGAACACGTAGGTGACAAATGAGGGAGGCCTGCCTTTGGTTACAGAATCTCAGGATATCTGGAGATGATTTTTCCCTCCATCTAGTGCCAGTTTTGGGGCTTTGCTGTTAGACACGCCCCACCTTGGGCAGGTCATGGGCTTTATTCTCTTAACATGCATCAGAACCTTGGCATCCTCAGAGCCCAGCTGATACCTACTGGGGAGAACTACCCTCAGTGGCCTTTTTCCTCAGGTTCTCACTTTCCATTTTTGTCCTCATAAGCTCCATGTTTTTGTGCCAAGTTAGCAATACATTTAAAATGCTTTGAAAAATATTTTATCTCGATATTTTTAGATATTTTCAGCCAGTCGGTTTTTCAGGGTATGTAATTACCATCCTGCAGGAAACCAGAGTCATGATATTTCCTTTTATCTTTCTCTGTGATGTTTTAGAATCCCTGAAATAGCTTCCCTAAAATTGCTTATGACAATGTGGAATTTTTTGGAGGTCAGAATACTGATTCTTAATTAATTGTTTACGGTTAGTAAAAGATTAGATTGCTCCACATGGAATTACTCTTTTTGTAAGTAAAAAAAACCCAAAGGGCTTCCCTGGTGGCGCAGTGGTTGAGAGTTCACCTGCCAAAGCGGGGGACGCGGGTTCGTGCCCCGGTCTGGGAGGATCCCACATGCCACGGAGCGGCTGGGCCCGTGGGCCATGGCCGCTGGGCCTGCGCATCTGGAGCCTGTGCTCCGCACGGGAGGGGCCACAACAGTGAGAGGCCCGCGTACTGCAAAAAAAAAAAAAAACCAAAAAAACACACAAAAAACTGTCGAATGCTGACACATTGATGTGGTTCAATTTAATGTTCTCTAGAGAAGGTAAGGTCTGCTTGCCCTTGAGATGTTTCATACCTTCGTGGACCTGTGGTGCTGGTTAAGAGCTTTCATTCATGCCGGTTTCCTGTGTGACAGATCGCTCTCTACATCTGGGACAGAGGTGATGGACCGCCCCTCACTCCTGTGCCTGAGTTTTGTACAGACGGGGTGGACTCTTCCTGTGCCACCGCGTTTCATTCTTTTCTGCCGCTTTGCGTAAGTAATGACAGGACAGCTTCCTCGTGTGTCAAAGGAAAACATACATGCTGTGCACAATGTTGTCCTAGCACTTTCCATCCTAAAAAACCCCAACATCTGCCATGTGCCACGTGAGAACTATATATCATGTTTCTGGGGATACTGGCCCTATAAGGTGAGCACTGTCGTTACCCTGTTTTGCACAAGAGAAGAGAGCAGGGTGGCACTGAGAGCTGCGGAGGTGTAGCCTGGAGTCATTTCTTTTGTTGAAGATGTAGCATGTAGCTGTTGGAATTCCTATTCTATTTCCTAGCAAGGCAATCTCAGACATTTCCCGTTATTCCTAAGCCTTCTCCTCGAGCCCACCCCCTTTACTTTCTCAGCCAGCGACCTCACTTTGATCTCACCTGAGACTGTGTAGAACTTTTAGAATTAACCTACTTGTTAGGGTAGACCCTTGGACCAGTCCCCAGGATGGGCCTGAAGACCCCAGGACTCAACTGGGTGGTTAACAATCCTTCCTCATAATGAAAAATATATTCACTACCTCAAACGTTGTCTGTTATTTTCAGGTCATTGATACAGAAGTCTGTGTGTTGCATTTTCAAAGAGGAATACATGTACACACAGACACACACACACTGCAACAGTGGGAGAGAATCTGTACTGTTGGCACAGTTCCTGAGGGGGAGATGTCTTTTTAGACATTATGCTTGCTTGTCCTTTAATGTTCTCCTGGACAATCTGGAGGGGTTGACCTCCTAGTGCCTTGAGTGACATGACAAAACTGCAGTTACGTGTCGCTATAAACCAGCCCCAAATGATGCAGAATTAGGATTGAGTATCACTGCAGGGCTAAGATAGCGATAAAGGGGCCAGAACACACCGCCCAACCCAGCTCCCTCCGTGAAGTGCCCACGGCCTGAGTGTGGATTGTCCGCAAGCCCCTCCGTGAGCCCCTTCATCTGAGTGATTGGCTTGGGCTGGAACCAGGGCAGGGCTCCAGGCTCCTCCAAAGTGTTGGAAGTTATCCTGCCTTTGGCAGAGGACAGAACATCGCTGTTGCCTAGATTTGGGTAGACGATAAAGAGCCATAAAAATACTTTAACATCAAAGTAAGGCTGGGCCCCCAGAAGGGAGTCATCTCTTATTTTACACTAAAACATCCCCCTACTTCTCTCTCCCTTTGACAAAAGTCTTCACCAGCTGGAAAAAGGAAAGGGAAGGTAGCCAACATTTACTGGGTACCTGTGATGCGCTTAATAAATAGTAGTAATAAAAGCAGCCGTATGGGTGGTTGGTTATCATCCTAATTTCCTAAATGAGCAGATGGAAGTTTAGAGAGCTGAGGACACTCGTCCAGGTGACATAGTGGAAATGCTGACCCAGGATCCTGGTGCCGGTCTTGCTGAGCAAATGCTTTGTGGTCAGCAGAGCTACAGTTCCTTTTTTCCCCTAAAACTTAATCCTGGAGACAAGTGTGATGTCCCTGACTTTGGTGAATTTGAACTTGAGAGCATGTGAGACCTACCTAATGTGGATGTGCAGTTAAGACACATTGACTCATGTATGCATATATTTTTCTTTTTTTAGGGAAATCCAGTGAAGAAGAAGGATATTTTTGTTGCAGTAAAGACATGCAAGAAATTTCATGGTGACAGAAGTATGTTTTGGGTTATTCATTTTTATTGAACTTTAAAAATGCAAACTGCCTTTAAAAAAACAGTACAAACCAGATATAAACTCAACCTAAATAAAAGGGACAATGACAAATATGTCATTGAAGTAAAAGCAGTTATTTAATCAGTATTCTTCATCATACCACTTCAATCACCAAGATCAATTAGAAAAGACAATTTTGTATTGCAACATGAGTGGTCATAGCCCTTCTAAGGAATGATTAGAGCAGTATTTTAAATTGGAAATGGAAAAGCTCAGCTGTGGCAATCTAGGAGACAGTTAGTGAATAACAATCCATTTTGCAAAACAATGTCCTGTTATGTCCAAGTGCAGTCTCTGAGCTGTATGAGTATGAGAGGGGATTTCAGGGTAACAGAATGCCAAAAAGAATGTTTTTCTAACACTGTTCCTTCTTTTTATATTTATTTCAAATGCACACATCGGAACTTTTAAGTAAGGATATGTATTTGCTCACATGTAGATATATAGAGAAAAGAAAAATGTGCCTTACAAGCAATGGTTCCTTCTTAAAGAAATCCTGCATGTATTGATAGATGAATGTTGTTTTTATTCAAATTGTTGGTTTCATTTCAGAATTCTACTAAGTTATTATGATACTATTTTTTAAAAAGCCTACCTTAAATATAAATACATAATTTATCTCTTTTTCCACCTTATTTCAAGCAGCACTTTTCTGAAATTGAAGGTTAGACAGTCTTTTGCATTTTCTAATTTTAGCACATATTTTAATTTTTTCCATGAACAGACTCAATTTCACCAAGAGTGTGATATTTATAGAGGAGAGATTTCTAAACCAGCTGTCTTTTTTTGTGGAATTAGAGCTATGTGGGAGTTCATTTATATAATTTATGTGATAATATATTTACAAATTATATTTTAAAGGGGATCATATTTTCCAAATAAAAGAAAATTATAATTTGGGATTAAAGTGTTTAAGACACTGACATAAATTCAAATCTTGTTACAGTCAACACTATCTTTAAAGTACATTTACTATAAACTTTCATGGTTACCTAAAATAGTCATGATAAATTCTAAGTCCTATTAAATCAGCCTAAATAAACATATACATTCATTATATGAGTCCTAAAATACTATCAAAAATCAATATAGCACTTAAAAATTTCATTTATCATAAATTTAACCTAGATTTTATATTCTTTTGTCTTTTTCATACTCTGTAAGGGCTCTGAAGGATGATTTTTTTTTAAGTTTCTTTTATTTATTTATATATATATTTTTGGGTCTTAGTTGCTGCGAGGGGGGGCTATTCTTTGTTGCGGCGTGAGGGCTACTCATTACAGTGGCTTCTCTTGTGGAGCACGGGCTCTAGTCATGCAGACTTCAGTAGTTGCAGCATGCAGGCTCAGCAGTTGCAGCACAGGGGCTCTAGAGCACGCAGGCTCCAGCAGCTGTGGCATGTGGGCTCGGTAGTAGCAGCGTGCAGGCTGATTAGTTGTGGCTCGTGGGCTCTAGAGCACAGGCTCAGTAATTGTGGTGCATGGGCTTAGCTGCTCCACATTGTGTGGGATCTTCCCGGACCAGGGGTTGAACCCGTGCCCCCTGCATTGGCAGTGTAGGATGGTTTTTGACAAACACCTTTCATTAAACAAGTGTGAAGGCACTGCAGAAATACAAAGGATCATGAGAGATTACTACAAGCAACTCTATGCCAAAAATGGACAACCTGGAAGAAATGGACAAATTCTTAGAAAATCACAACCTTCCGAGACTGAACCAGGAAGAAAAAGAAGATAAAAACAGACCAATCATGAGCACTGAAATTGAAACTGTGATTAAAAATCTTCCAACAAACAAAAGCCCAGGACCAGATGGCTTCACAGGCGAATTCTATCAAACATTTAGAGAAGAGCTAACACCTATTCTTCTCAAACTCTTTCAAAATATAGCAGAGGGAGGAACACTCTCAAACTCATTCTATGAGGCGACCATCAACCTGATACCAAAACCAGACAAACATGTCACAAAAAAAGAAAACTACAGGCCAATAGCACTAACAAACATAGATACAAAAATCCTCAACAAAATACTAGCAAACAGAATCCCAACAGCACATTAAAAGGATCGCACACCACGATCAAGTGGGGTTTATCCCAGGAATGCAAGGATTCTTCAATATATGCAAATCAGTCAATGTGATAAACCATATTAACAAATTGAAGGAGAAAAACCATACGATCATCTCAGTAGATGCAGAGAAAGCTTTTGACAAAATTCAACACTCATTTATAATAAAAACCTTCCAGAAAGTAGGCATAGAGGGAACTTACCTCGACATAATAAAGGTCATTTATGACAAGCCCACGGCCAACATCGTTCTCAATGGTGAAAAACTGAAAGCATTTCCACTAAGATCAGGAACAAGACAGGTTGCCCCTCTCACCACTATTATTCAACATAGTTTTGGAAGTTTTAGCCACAGCAATCAGAGAAGAAAAAGAAGTTAAAGGAATCCAAACCAGAAAAGAAGAAATAAAACTGTCACTGTTTGCAGATGACATGATATTATACGTAGAGAATCCTAAAGATGCTAGCAGAAAACTGCTAGAGCTAATGAATTTGGTAAAGTAGCAGGATACAAAATTAATACACAGAAATCTCTTGCATTCCTATACACTAATGATGAAAAATCTGAAAGAGAAATTAAGGAAACACTCCCATTTACCATTGCAACAAAAAGAATAAAATTCCTAGGAATAAACCTACCTAAGGAGACAAAAGACCTGTATGCAGAAAACTGTAAGACACTGATGAAAGAAATTAAAGACGATACAAACAGATGGAGAGATATACCATGTTCTTGGATTGGAAGAATCAACATTGTGAAAATGACTCTACTACCCAAAACAATCTACAGATTCAATGCAATCCCTATCAAACTAGCACTGGCATTTTTCACAGAACTAGAACAAAAATGTCACAAATTTTATGGAAACACAAAAGACCCCACATAGCCAAAGCAATCTTGAGAAAGAAAAACAGCTGCAGGAATCAGGTTCCTGGACTTCAGACTATACTGCAAAGCTACAGTAATCAAGACAGTATGGTACTGGCACAAAAACAGAAATATAGGTCAATGGAACAGGATAGAAAGCCCAGAGATAAACCCACGCACATATGGTCACCTTATCTTTGATAAAGGAGGCAAGCATATACAATGGAGGAAAAACAGCCTCTTCAGTAAGTGGTGTTGGGATAACTGGAGAGCTACATGTAAAAGAATGAAATTAGAACACTCCCTAACACCATACACAAAAATAAACTCAAAATGGATTAAAGACCTAAATGTAAGGCCAGACACTATAAAACTCTTAGAGAAAAACATAGGCAGAACACTCTATGACATCAATCACGTCAAGATCCTTTTTGACCCACCTCCTAGAGAAATGGGAATAAAAACAAAAATAAACAAATGGGACCTAATGAAACTTAAAAGCTTTTGCACAGCAAAAGAAACCATAAACAATATGAAAAGAGAACCCTCAGAATGGGAGAATATATTTGCAAATGAAGCAGCTGACAAAGGAGTAATCTCCACAAGCAGCTCATGCAGCTCAATACCAAAAAAACAACCCAATCCAAAAATGGGCAGAAGGTCTAAACAGACATTTCTCCAAATAAGATATACAGATTGCCAACAAACACATGAAAGGATGCTCAACATCACTAATCATTAGAGAAATGCAAATCAAAACTACAATGAGGTATCACCTCACACCAGTCAGAATGGGCATCATTAAAAAATCTACGAACAGTAAATGCTGGAGCGGGTGTGGAGAAAAGGGAACCCTCTTGCACTGTTGGTGGGAAGGTAAATTGATACCACTATGGAGAACAGTATGAAAGTTCCTTAAAAAACTAAAAATAGAACTACCATACAACCCAGCAATCCCACTACCTGGCATATTCCCAGAGAAAACCATAATTTAAAAAGAGTCATGTACCACAATATTCATTGCAGCTCTATTTACAACAGTCAGGACATGGAAGCAATCTAAGTGTCCATCAACAGGTGAATGGATAAAGAAGATGTGGCACATATATACAATGGAATATTACTCAGCCATAAAAAGAAACGAAATTGAGTTATTTGTAGTGAGGTGGATGGACCTATAGACTGTCATACAGAGTGAAGTAAGTCAGAAAGAGAAAAACAAATACTGTATGCTAACACATATATATGGAATCTAAAAAAAAAAAAAAAAACTTCTGAAGAACCTAGGGGCAGGACAGGAATAAAGACTCAGATGTAGAGAATGGACTTGACATGGGGAGGGGGAAGGTAAGCTGGGAGGAAGTGAGAGAGTGACATGGACGTATATACACTACCAAATGTAAAATGGATAGCTAGTGGGAAGCAGCCGCATAGCACAGGGAGATCAGCTCGGTGCTTTCTGTCCACCTAGAGGGGTGGGATAGGGAGGGTGGGAGGGAGGGAGACGCAAGAGGGAAGAGATATGGGAACACATGTATATGTATAACTGATTCACTTTGTTATAAAGCAGAAACTAACACACCACTGTAAAGCAATTATACTTCAATAAAGATGTTAAAATAAAAAAAGTGTCAAGGGAAATGAACTAGCTGCTTTCTTTTTTTTTTTTTTTAAACAGCAAGCAGAAGTGCTCAAATTGATTTACTTGATCTTGAAGCTGCATTTGGAGTACAATATCAATGTTAGGAATGGGGGTGGTAGTATTTTCTCTTTAGAAACACATTTTTCAAGTTGACAGTAAAGCCCTAAAATTAGGGACCATCCCTGTTGTAGTTTTCATGTTCTACAGAAATGAAAAAAAAAAGTTTGCTAATTTTAATGTAGTCATTTATAATAATCTAGTTTATTGCTTGCTTAACTTTGCATAAGGTTGTGATAATCCTTTCAGGTATCTATCAAATGCTTTTATATTTGAATTTTGAGTCGAAGGTCTTTAAAAATGATAA